CGCTCTTCGTGAAATAGCCACTCGCGGCAACTTCGAGATCAATTCCATGGACGCCTCCTCCGCTTTTCTCCAAGGCCAGCTCAAGGAGGATGTTCACATGGAACGCCCACCGGGGTGTCCTGGCACTTATCCTGCCAACACAGTGTGGAATCTGAAGCGCCCAGTGTATGGCCTCAAGCAGGCTCCTCGTGAGTGGCACAACAAGGTGAAGGAAGTCCTCCTCGCACTTGAGTTTCATCCCTCCGCCTCAGATTCTAATCTTTTCGTTCGTCACTCCTCCGAGCCCTTCTACATCCTCGTCTACGTCGACGACTTCATTCTAGTTGCCAGAGATCCAGCCGACATGGTGTTATAGTCACAATAGGCTTAGATGTGCCTATAATGAGAGATAGAAAGCACAGTCGGATTTCCGTCAGACGGCTTCAAATATTGATAGCGATCCGGTCGCTGAATCAAACGGTGATCTGTAAGCTGGATCTGGAGCGCGTTGATGTCGCCTATCAGCAGCAAGTTGAATCATAAAATTCCATGAAGATTTGACGACGCTATGGCGGTTTGACTGGCAGGAGGTACAGTCTCCACTATAGTCTTAGGAGTACAAACTTAGCAAGAAGAGTTCGAGAGGGAGATGGTTCCCAGCCTCTACATACCCCAAGAGCCGAGGTCCAGGTTGGTGGTACACCACCACAGAGTCCCCAACCATGAAGAGTCTCGAAACCAACCCTCCAAGGGGCTACACCAAGTGAAATGTAACACTACACGAAGTAACGTTACTATTTTCACTATTTAATATTTATCCGCGTCCCTTGGGCTTGAAATCTTGAGCTCTTGGTCTTGGTTCTGCAAGATAAATTCTTCTTGATTTGATGGGGGCTTGCTGCACACACCTGCGACACGATGGACACTTCACACTCGACAAAAATAGAAATAACACATGCGACACGCAAACGACGACTTGACATGCGAGTTGTAAAAACTCGCTAATGTCTTCACCGACACAAACCACATTGTGATACACCATTCAAACACACACACAAGCACTGGATAGCAATGACATAGACTCACAATTCATTCCATGCCATGCATGCACACACACAAGCAAGGACGACAAGCCGAGTGCAAGCCATAGGGTTGCACCAACACATGGCAGCTGTCTAGTTTGCTCTCAGCTCCGCCCTTCTCATGAAGGATTTTGGTGACCTCAAGAACTACCTAGGGATGGAGATCACTCGTGAGCGCCAGGCTTGCACAATCACCCTCTCCCAGGAGTCCTATATCAACAACCTTCTCAAGCGGTTCGACATGGACTCCAGTAACTCTGTCTTGACTCCTCTCCCACTACAGCATCAGCTTATGGCACCTCTGGTTCCTTCTCCTGACACCTGGAAGGACCCGTACCCTGAGCTAGTCGGTTCACTCATGTATGCCATGATGTGCACTCGACCAGACTTGGCTTACCCGGTTAGTGTCCTCTCTCGGTACGTCTCCCTCGGAGGCTACACTGCCTTGCATTGGTCTGCAGCCAAGAGGGTCATCCGCTATCTACAAGCCACCAAGTCTCACATCCTCACTCTCGGTGGTACCTCTCCAGTCAAGCTCGAGGGATACACAGACTCCTCATGGGTCGATGACAAGACTTATAGACGCTCCTCCCAAGGGTACTGCTTCACTCTTGGGAGCGGAGTCATCAGCTGGCGTTCCACTCGGTCCTCTACAGTCTCCCTGACGTCCTGCGAGGCCGAGCACTACGCAGGCACAATGGCTGCTCAAGAGGCACGCTGGCTCTCCTTTCTCTTCGCTGAGTTAGGCTACCCCCAGCAGTCGCCCACCCTGTGGTGTGACAACCAGAGTGCCATTCACCTCACCAAGGATCCTGTGTTCCACTCTCGCACCAAGCACATCGAAATTCGTCATTTCTTTATCCGAGATCTTGTTCAGAGTGACCAGCTGACGGTACGGTACATCGCCTCAGATTGCAACCTCGCCGACCTCTTTACCAAGGCTCTCGGCAAGGCTGACCACCATCGCCTTCTCCGTTCCATGGGGCTATGTGCTCCTTGACCGAGTTTGCAGTCTATGGGGGTGTGTTAGAAATAGATTGCAAATCCTAATTTTGTTTTTGTAATTTTATATCCTAGTTTAGGTTACGAATGTTCTAGTGGGTTGGGGTGTACTCACAAAATCCCAACCTCACCCAATTGTGATCCCCCAAATCTCCAATTACCCAATTGGAGATTCCGGAGATCCCAATGGGGATTCTCTCCGATTCCCCCTTCATCCATTCTCCCTTACCTTGGCATGTACTTATAGAGCCTTGGGCTCCTTACCTAATCAATCATTTCAGCTCTATTTCTTACAAGTTGATCCCTGCAACAACGTGAAGTGCGCTGCTAGCTCCGTATGCAACAGAGGTGTCTTCGAGGAGGTTGATCTGTGCAAGGACGTGAAGATTGGGGGGATCGCAATTCGGTAAGATTTGGGGGATTTTGTGAGTACACCCCAACCCACTAGAACATTCCTAACGTAAACTAGGATATAAAAGTACAAATACAAAAATAGGATTTGCAATCTATTTGTAACACAACCTCCTCGCAGACGCCCTTCTTGCATACGGACCCAGCAGTGCGCTTCACGCCCTTGCAGAGATCAACCTCATCGCAAACGCCCTTCTTGCATACGGACCTAGCAGCGCACTTCACGTCCTTGTAGGGATCAACCTTCTCGCAAATGCCATTCTTGCATATGGAGCCGGCAGCGCACTTCACGTCCTTGAAGGGATCAACCTCCTTGCAGACGCCCTTCTTTTATACGGACCCAACATCGCACTTGACGTCCTTGCATGGATCAACCTCCTTGCAGACGCTCCTCTTTCATACGCAGCCAGCAGCGCAATTCACGTCCTTGCAGGGATTAACCTCCTCGCAGTCGCCCTTCATTCATATGGAATGACAATCATCTGCTTTCAGTTGAGCTAGGGTTCCATGGTTCCATGCTATGTGACTGCTCTGGTTAGGTGTCATTGAGCACCTCATCAGCATTATCAACGACCACCTCCGTGTCGTCTACCAGCTCGGCATGGGTGTCGATAAAGGTGTCCAGTAGGTCTTGTATTATGAGTTGGCAGCCGGCAGCATGTTGTGCATGGACGATGGCGTGTCACCAAATGGCCGAGAGGATTGTGCCACTTGTAGATTCATCTAACTTTTGGAGGACTGCTCTCAGGCTCCACACACACAGCACCCTTGAAAACCTCTCAGGGAACTATAGCCGCCGCACATCTTGCAAGGCAAGGTGACCCCAGACACATCTCCACTTGGCGCACTTGTCCAGAAGCTCTTACCCCATCAGTTGGTTTGTGGAATGACCAGAGATACAAAAGGAGGGTAGCAGGTGCTGGTAGAGGCGATTACAGCCCAAGCCGACAAGCCCATTGACGTGCAAGCCCCACATTGCGGCTGACAGAACTGCGGAACCATCGGTCGACACATGGGCACAGTGTTCAGTACCGCTACTATAAGGTAACACAACCAAGGGTGCACAACTTACTGCAGAACGTCTCTTGACCTCTTCACATGTCCATGGCGGTCGCTCCAGGGATCAAAATGGATGCATCGTGCACGGGACACTGCATTGTCGAGGCTGACTAATTGGTTGTTGGTGCATATTCGTCGTCATCCTGTCGTCTGTTCGCATCATTTCGTTTGCATGTGGTTCGTGTTCTATGTTCTTTGTGTGGTTTGTTGGGTTTGCATGTCTTTGCATGTTCATCTTGTGCTTGTGCATATATGCGCTTGGATTGTGCATGACATCGAGCACATTCCAACGAGCCAAGAATTGTTGGAATCGGAGCACATATTTAGAAGTTACGAAGAAACGTTTGATGGATTGTTACAACTTATTGGAAGTCCTTGGCAGCTGCTACACCAAGGTTGTAGAGCCCTATAACGAGGAGGGACCAGCATGTGTGGGACTTTTGTCCTCACCTTGCAGCTGCAGCATTTGGGGTTTGGATCCAACCTGGGACTGTGTGAATTTTGTCTTGCCTGGCTGGTTGAACCTGAGGATGGGGAGTCAAGAAATTGACTCTTGTCATGTTCTTGACCAAGGGCCTCCAGGGTCCTTCCCTTTCATCCTTCCCTTCCTACCCCTTCTTCCAAACTGTGCTTCAATGTTTTTCCATCATGTGTTTGAACTTGTAACCTTAGATGGTTGTGACTCTGAGGACTGTCAACTTCTCCTAAGGCAGATTACCCCCAGTGCGCCAAATGCCATAGCTCACTCGATAGGCTACGGAATTGTGTGATTGAACCTTGAATTGGAAAGCTGATACTGCAAGCAACAACATATCCGATTTTCACAGTGTTTCATCAATTCAATCCTCGGATATAGCTTTTCAAAAGTCGCGAGTTCTCTGGGCACCATAACGAAGTGCTGCAGGAATTTCTAAGGAGCTGTCAAATCTTCTGCTCATAGCATTCTCCAACCAACATTGGCCAGGCTTCAAGATAACTACTAGGCTGAAGTGGTCCTCTCCGATATCGTTCCTATAGGAGGGGGATTGAGGTGTGCAAACTGTAGGGATTCGACACAACAGCAAACATCCACTGTCGACTCACCTCCACTATAATGAGATGGTGATCGCATCGACCTCAAAGTCTCCTTCAATGATTCCGGCACAAGGCGCTGGCATATTCTTTGTTGCTGATAGCTTGCGGGACGCTGCCGACAAAACGAGCATAGCCGGCCCATGACTCACTGATGCATCGACGGTATCATTTCCAGTGTCATACGAGTAGCTTAAAGTTTTGACAATTAGCAGGGTGGCAGAAAATATCCAAATCACCATAATCCAAGGTCGAGAATTGGCCGTGTGAGACCGAGAGCGTCATCAAAGAGGAATTGCAGATCTTCTTCTAGAACTTTTAGGCCAGAGCTGTACGCTAAGTGGATGTGTGTAGCGGGTACTGCATGTTGATGCATGACCAACTGGGAGAATGGTGGCATAAACATGGTAAGTCGTAGGGTTGCGCGAGCTTATCGGGCTTTGCGCGAGCCTAAACCCAGTCATTATATGTGACGGAGAGATAACCATGCACGAAGACCATTCATGGTCTTTGCGCCCTATAGAGTGACCCGTCCACCAACGGCGGAAATACCACACTTTCCTTAGTTGTATACACCAGATGTATAGGGTTCGCTTGTGTGGCTATGTATATGGATGTATATCTTGTATTATGAGACACGTGTATCGCGTATTACCCAACCAGGGGGCATCGACGGTAAGGCAATTCGATAAAAACCAGCTGAAAACAACAGCTTGCATACGAAACAAGCATACTACTAGCAGCAATTTCCAGCAGACTACAATTTCCAGCAGCTGAAAAAAAATCTGGAAAATCTATGGAATATGGTACATTATGTAAATTCCGACAACCTTCAACCCTGCTTCATGCCGCTCGGCACCTGCTGCTCACTGCGGGTCTCGCTTATTCGAATGCGTCTCACGTTTTGAAATCATATGGGTAGTGTAAGGCATGACAAGGCCACTCATACAGATAATGTAGTCACACCAGTAGCCCATAGTCTCCAGCAGCTCTGTTGCAAAATTAACCATGGTGGTCCTGCACATACCTGACGCCCTTTTCATGGCTGCGTCGACAATCTGTTCCATGTAAACTGCCTTGACGTTTGTCTCGGGAGCTTCCGCATCGTCCTTTATGACCTGCATCACTAGTCGAGTGATGCTAAGTCACAACTCGCGAGCTGGCAGGTCGGCACTTGCGGCTCTCCCGCACAACCCCCAATAGTTCCAGTGGCTTTGAGGTCATTACACCGTTACACTTTTTTCTCATTTCCATATTTCTCCTCTCTATCTCATTCTCCTTTCTATCCTGATTCGTTTGGTCTTTATCTCATCCCTTTTGGGTTTTTATTCCTCATTTCCCATTATCCTTTGGTTTATCCTGTTATTATAATTATATTACCGACCTTGCTCGGGATGTATTGGCACGCTATATCTAGCGTAATCCTACCGTAATCTCTTAAAGCCAATAGCATCACATGGCTATACGCAGGGTGATTCTATTTCTAGAAGGGTCTATTCCCTTTGGATAGGATAAACCCTGCTTACCTGTTATAAAAATTATAAAAATGCCTTGTATCAATCGATAGTGCATTTTTTCCTCGACCAATTCGATCCTGTAACACTTGGTAATCAGAGTTTTTCTCAATCGGCCGCACTCAGCTAAGCAGCAGCAGCGGGAAAACCGGTCCCGAAAAACCGCCGGGGGCGACTAATTCGGAGCCGATTCTGGTAAGCACCAGCTCCGCGTTTTTTTTATCAACCCCTCCGCGCGTATTTTGAACAAGATGGCAAACTTCGACAGCACCTTTTCGCGTACATCACCGCCCTACAGGAGGAGATGCGAGCCGACCACGAAGCTTGGCAAAACGAGCTCGAGCGAGTAACTCGACTCGCCGGCGCGTAGCAGGAAACGACAACAGCGATGACGCAGCAGTCGTAGAAATTTCTCGAGGCTCCGAAACCGCGCCCACCTGAGCCGTTCAATCGGAGCGATCGAAATTCCGACGTCCGCAAATGGATCGCCAGCATGGAGATCTACTTCGCAACCGTTGGATGGAGCTCGCCAGTCTGAGACGGTCAACGCGTGTGACTCGCGGCGACACTGAGGCGAGGGACGGCACTCGAGTGGATCGGCGGCAACAATACCTTCATCCATGGCAAAGCCACGTGGCAGCAGTTCCGCACCGACCTGCTGAAAAGTTTCGAGCTGATAAATTCAGGTTTCCTTGCCCGGGAAAAATTCATCGCCATCGACATTTTGGGAGTGTGGCGCAATATACGCACCAGATGAAAGAATATTATAACTGCATTCCTGACCTGACTGAAGGGGAAAAAGTACAGTCGTATCTCGCCGGGCTGGAGACCGAAGTCAAATGACAGGTTGCAGCGACAAATTACGCGAGCTACAGTGTCGTCGTATCGGCAGCGAAGCGTTTTGACATGGTCAATGCCAGAACACGACTGGCACACGTCGGCAGTACGCGACAGGGCGACCTCTCGGCTCACCCCACGCTCGCCGACCCGATGGAAATCGACAGGTTTGACGAGCGGCCACGTCCGAAAAACACCAACTTCATGTATAATTTTTGTGGGGTGCCGGGCCATCGAATCTTCGACTGTAATAAAATGAAAGCCGCACGTACAAAGTATTGGGCACCCAATAGTGGCGGAAGTTCTTCGGCCAATCAGAAGAAAAAAATGGAAATCGCCAGTGATTGCCGATCTAGCTGGCGAAATAGAAAAGATGCGAAAGCGGTCGCGGGATTCCAGAAAAATCAACTTCAACGAAGCTCATTCAATGCGAGCAGGAGGAAAATCTCCACCCCACGACCTGGGAAAATCGCTGAGAAAAAATCTTACTCCGCAGAAAAATACTTTGCTGAGATGGGGAAACTCCTAGAAGACCCAAAAATGATAAGGATTCGTTAAAGTTATCTGATAAAGATGCTTTAATGAAAACTTCTGATTCTCGAGGGGCTAGAGCCTTGGAGAATTTTTGGGAGGGACTCTAGAAGAAGCATAAAACTGTGGAGATCGTATCGGTACCGGAGAACTTGGGGAAAAAATTAAGGAGTGTGGAAAGGAGCCGACCTTTCCACAGAGTCAACGTCCTCTCCCGACACCAGCCCACAACGACTACCTGTTCCTCATGGAAGACATCGGTGGAGCTGAAGCAGCTCAAGAGGAAGCTAGGGGTCTACAAGAAGTTGCAAAGGCTCCGAACTCCTCCTTCGGATGCATCTAGCTCAGCAACTTTGGCATCAACAATACACGCAGTCGTCAAGGAAACTTCGGGTGTGGAGAAGAGCCCTTCTCCAAGCAGCCTCAGCCAGCTGCCAGCTCAGGAGTAGATAGAACTAAAAAGGAGTGTACGAAATATTGGGATGTACCCTATGATCCTATTAATGAAATTATCTTTGGGTACTCCGAGCTACGCCTGCCCCTCGTGCTTGAGGTCATTTGCAAAGGGCGAGGCCTCCAAGCACTTGTGGACAGCAGAGCGTCACACACCGTATGCGACAAGGCGGCAATCGACCTTCTTCGCGAAGAGTACAAGCCTTCGGAGTTCTCTTCAACAATGGTGGACGGCAGCAAGTTACCAGTCTACGGCGAAGCGATGTTACACCTACAAATCGGACCACTGCGCTGGAAACCTGCACTCTCCATCACCAACATAAAAAGGCTGGACTAGATCTTAGAGCAAGACTTCCTTAAAAAAAAAAAAAAAAAAAAACAACAACAAAACAAAACAAAACAAAAAAAACAAAACAAAACAAAAAATCAACCCCGAGATCAACTGGGTAAACCATACTGCAAGCATCGACAACAACAGAAGGAGAGTCTAGCTACCCAACTCGGACGACACAGGAGATATCCGAGTGGAGACACTTGCTAGGTTCGAGAAGGACGTGAAACGAAACAACATCGGATTCCTGGCTATAGCAACAGATGCGGAAGATGACGGAGAGGAAACCTCGGAACCTCCAGAAAAAATCAAGGAATTAGTGAAGGAGTTCCAAGACATTCTTCCCGACGACCTTCCGAACGAGCTACCCCCATACTGAATGCACCAACATGAGATCGTGGAAGAACCAGGTTCAAAGCCGACCTTCCGAGCACCATATCGGCTCAGCCCCACGGAGTTAGCCGACATGAAGAAATAGATCGAGGACATCATCCGGCCATCCACCTTGCTATACAGTGCTTCAGTACACTTCACACCGAAACACGACGGAAGCCTACGCATGTGCATCGATTACCGAGCTCTCAACAAGCAGACCATCAAGAACAAATACCCAATTCCATGAAACGATGACCTTCTTGACGAGCTTCGGGGAGCCACGGTATTTTCCAAACTGGATCTGCGGTCCGGATACTGGCAGATAAGAATGGCGGACGATTCCATCCACAAAACTGCCTTCCGAACTCGGTACGGGTCGTACGAGTATCTGGTAATGCCGTTCGGAATGACCAACGCACCGGCAACCTTCCAAGCCGAGATGAACCACATTCTACACCCACTCTTGGACGAATGCGTCCCACAGACACAGTCCAACATGCACACGACTTCATTACGACCATGCATCAGCTTCGGGATATGACCCACATGCGCCTCCTTGACATTCAGCAGCAATAGAAGCGCTAGGCCGATCGCCACCGCACTGACCACACCATCATCGTGGGAGACCGGGTTCTACTCGACACCCGCAATCTCGACATCAGCCACCTCCCATCTAAACTTCAACCTCGTTTCTGCGGGCCTTTCCTTGTTGAAGCACAGGTCACCCCCGTTACCTTCCGCTTACGCCTGCCAGCTATCTAGAAGCTTCACAATGCCTTCCATGTCCAACATCTGAAGCCCTACCGCGATCCCAACACAATCTTCATTGGACGCCAACCGCCGCCGCCGCCGCCCGTCCTTGTCCATGACGAACCCGAGTACGAGGTCGAGTCCGTGCTTACATACCGCCGTCGTCAGAATGGCTCCTTGGAGTCATCCGTTGGACGGGTTATGACCCTTCTGAGGATAGCTGAATCCATGAATCCGACATGGGTAACGCCCGTCGTCCTCTTCGCGACTACCTTGTCAAGCAGGGTGTTACTTCTACCACCCAGCTTTGAGGGGGGGAAGTGTGAGAGTACGACCCTGTTCCACTTCTTTCTTATTTCCATATTTCTCCTCTACCTCATTCTCCTCTTTATCGTGATTCACTTGGTCTTTATCTCATCCCTTTTGGGTTCCTATTTCTCATTTCCCGTTTTCTTTGGTTTATCCTCTTATTGTAATTATATAACCGACCAGGCTCGGGATGTACTGGCGAGCTATATCTAGCGTAATCCTGTCGTAATCCCTTAAAGCCAATAGCCTCGCATGGCTATACGCAGGGTGATTCTATTTCTAGAAGGGTCTATTCCCTTTGAATAGGATAAACCTACCTGATGTACCGTGGAAGTATAAAAGTGCCTTATGAGGGCAGGATGTGAGAAGGGACTACACCGAGTGACATATAACACTCACGAAGTAGCATTACAATTTTCTCTATTTTAATGTTTATCCATGATTCTTGGGCTTGAAATCTTGAGCTTTTGGCCTTGGTTCTTCGTGATAAATTATTCTTGAGTTGATGAGGGCTTGCTGCACACGCCTGCAACATGATGGACACATCACACTCGACAAAATAGGAGAACGCATGTGACGCGCAAACGATGACTTGACATGCGAGTAGTGAAAACTCGCTAATGTCTTGACCGACACAAACCACATTGTGGTACACCATTCTGAACCACTCGCAAGTGCTTGTATCTTGCTACACACAAAAGCACTAGATAGCAATGCCATAGACTCATAAGTCATTCCATGCCATGCATGCACACACACGAACAAGGAAGACAAGCGGAATGCAGGCCATAGGGTTGCACCAACACCCACCACTGCCGACATGGTAACCTGTGTCCCACAATTTGCCAGCATGAGTTCTTTGTAACAAGTGACGAGCTCCATGTATCACAGGTAAGATAGATCAATGCAGCATGTTGTGAGTTCTGGAATATACCGAGACAGGTAAACGAGCAAATTGACACGACGTGGTTGTTACCCATCTGTAAATGGTTCCGATGAGGGCATCCACATGCATCGTCGTCCACAAACTAGTCAGGATCGGCGTAGTTATCTCCCAGTCGGCCTTCCACGCCGACTGCTGCCTCAAGGGGACCTCCACCGTGTCATCTGGTTGCCCCTCATACACGACATCCGCCATGAGAACGACATACCAGACGCCATCCTTTTGTTGCTTGACCCTAGGCATTGGTTCGTGTGGCCAAGGTATGTCTCTGCCGACCAGGACTTGCCTCACAGACGCACCATGTGACCCTTCTGGCCGTGCCCCTGCTGAGGCCTTGACGGGGTAGACTTGGATGGGTTATGGCAAGCCCCTGCGAGCAGCTAATGACCGGCAGCAGCCCTAGGCGGCTCATCCTTGTCCTCTGGATCAAAGCCTGAGATGTCGGCATCCCCCCCATGTCCCGCCCATTGGCCCGCCAAGTGCTGCAACCTCATCTTCTTCTTTCTCCTCTTCTTCCACTTCCTCCTTCCTCTTTAGCCTCCTCCTCTTCCGCCAACTCGTCCTCAAAATCCTCTTCCACGTAGACCTCCTCCGCAAGGGCGTCCGCCACGTTGGCATCCCCATCCACTCCCCCATCATCCGATGCATCGCCACCGATGGTGTCTTGTTCTCGTCTGTGCATGCCTTTGACCATCACATCTTCCTTGTCAACCCCACCTTCATCCACTCCCATCTCTTCATCCCCCGCACCAATACTGTGAGATCTAAGGACGATCTGTCGACAAGCAACAGCACAACGGCTCCTAGATCCGACTCTCGACCGCTCCTCTTGAGCTGGTCTGCTATCGACTCCTGCCGAGAAGCTTGTCCATGCTCTGCCTTACGCCACTCACTCTTCATGCATTCTTTTTTCTCCTCAACCAGCACCATGTCACCTGCCGCCCGTCAGGTGCACTTCGCCCTCGCTCAAGAGTGTGGAGTAGGGGCCTCCTCTACCAGCGTCTGGGGTTCGGCAGGAGACGCACGCGGCAGGGCCCGTTTCTTGGTCGCCCTGCTATCTGCAGGTTGGCCTCTTCAAATGACGTGCTGAGCATTCACATCTTCGACAACAGGAATTCCATCTCGTCGGAAATTCGACACCCCGTCCACACTGCGAGACACCCTGGTGTCCGTGATGGTGGGACGCTGCGTCTTTCTGCTACTGCCTGCCTTCTGTATCGGGACAGTTTGAGGCTGCCACCTGCTTTCTGTACCGGCGCGTTACCAGACTTCACAGCTTCTGCGGGCAGTGGAGTGACACTTGTGCCACAACTTCTAGTCGGGGCGGAATTGCGAGAGGCCTTTTCAAGAGACAAAGGAGAGCTCGCTTGACGAGAAGCAAGGGCCGCGCTGTCACAATCTCAAGGAGCAGTGGTATCACAGACGGCGGGAACATCTTGAGTATGTTCTGGTTCCTTGGCAGCGAGGCGCCCACCTGCCATCCCCGTCATTAGGTTTGGAAAGAGACTGAGCCCTAAGGCGACAAAGGGAAACGGCCGTGGCGGCAGCTGCCTCTGCGACCTGATCCTTCAACGTGGCTATCACCGCAGATTTTGTCGTCTCTGCCGATGCCGATCGAACTTCTGCAGTAAGCAAGGCACCCATGTGCACTGTTGCTGCCCCAACTGAAATGCCGATGCGTGCCTTTATTTCTCGCGTCTCCGCCCCCATGGCTGAGTTGATATGCTTCTCAACCGTCTTCGTTGCCGCCCTATGGCCGTATTGTTGTGCTCCTTGACCGTCCACAGGATTGATGCCTTCAACATCACCGCCGTGGAATCGAATTCCTGCTCGATTGCTGCTGGGGGCGCATCCTCTGCCGTCCCATTAAGCTCCTCGAATGTCGGAGAGCTGCAGGGTGGTTGGACAGCTTTCCATGATGGTGGTGGCCCTACCCAGCAGAGTTCCGACAACCTCGTTGACCTTCAGCGACAGCTCCTCATTCCGTTGCAAGTAGCTGACGATATCCCAGAGCAGGCTTACTGTATGAGTTTGCCTATCTCGCTAGCATGACGTGCCGCGCACGGCTCAGTTGACACGCTAGCAGGCCCTTTTTCACGACATGTCGTGCTGCGTCGTCGCCTCATGTCATCGTATGGGTCCCCGGCACTCCCTTATTGTGTAATGGGGTTGCTATAACTTGACATTATTGTATACACGCAAGCAGGGTCTTGGTTAGAATTGGAAAGAGGAAAGCTAAAACAAAACAAAACAAAAATATAACAAAACAAAAGAAAATTTCCATGGGGCCTTGCGAGCAGGATCGAAACATGCAAGTGAAAGGTGATGAGAAGTAACTCTTACAACGCAACGAGATCAGCTCAACCTGGCCTTGGTAAATTGTCCATAACACTGTGAAAAGGACACGTCGACGGTGTGCGTCCACAATGCGTAGGCAAATCCAACCCAACTAACACGTCGATTGGTCGACTGTGGTAAGTGTTCTCACAATCACCTACGACATTCTTGTTCCATGCGACCCTGTTAGATCTCATCACACTTTCTTGCTTGCATCCTCAGGACTTTTGAATGCTCCTACCAAATTCCATCCCAACATTGAAGTACAGTGTTGTGCGCGATAGTCTTATACGGCGTCAGCAAAAACTCGCCAGCAAATTCACTCGCAAACCTATCCCCTCCCAATGATCGGCAGAAGATTCGCGAATTCGTTTTTGTTGGTTCGGTGGGTGTCCAATTGGTTTTGTGGCATAATATCTGGGTTGCCCACTAAGTTGTTGAAACACACAATAGGACGTTAAGTTCGACAATTGGGTTTCGGGAGCCCTACTTCAGCCATCCCGGAAATCGGAACTGTAGCGTGTGCAGTGGTGGTAACCCTCTTTCAACATCTGTGACGTCCCATCTGTGCTATTTCAGACACCCTCTAAGAGCCACTGCTCACTTGGCTCTGGCCAATAAAGCCCCACTCTTCACTTTTTCACTCAGTCCCTCGCCCTCCCACTCCTCGCCCTACCACTCCTCGCCTTCCATACCCCCTTCTCACCTTCCCCCAGCACCTCCTCCACGTTGGGCGCCAGCACGACGCACTTGGCCCTGCGTGTCCACACGGCCTTGCCCATCTCCCTCAACCCGCACAGCAGGTGCTGCTGCATGGCAGCCTGCAGAGATGTGAAGAGTGCGCATGCGGGGGGGAAGAAAGGGAGAAGGTGGGGCGTGAAGGGAGTGATGAGCAGAGCATGTACTCAGTTTGGCCCGGCCTGTGCTCACAGCAATGGCCGCCCCCTTGAGCGCAGACAACAGGCGCCGCCGCATGGCAGCCTGCCAAGGAAAGTGGCAGGGGAATGGAGTGCGCATGTGGGGGAAGGGTATGCGCATGGGGGGAAGGGCATGCGCATGTTGGGGATGGGTGTGCGCATGTGGGGAAGGGCGTGTGCATGTGGGGGAAGGGTGTGTGCATGTGGGAAAGGGCATGCGCGTATGGGGAAAGAGCATGCACGTGTGAGGGAAACGCGTGTGCGTGTGAGGGAAGGGCGTGCGCGTGTGAGGGGAGGGCGTGCGCATCGTGCGTGTGTGGGGTAAGGGCGTGTGCGTGTGGGGAAGGTGTGCGCGTGTAGGGGAAAGGCGTGCGCATGTGGGGGAAGGGTGTGTGGCTGTGGGGAAGGGCGGGTGTGTGTGGGGAAGGGCGGGCGCATGTGCGGAGGATGTACGCATGCGGGAAAAGGGCGTGCGCATGTGGGGAGGGGCGTGCGCATGGGTGGAAGGGCGTGCGCATGGGGGGAAGGGCGTGCACATGTGGGGAAGGGCGTGTGCATGGGGGGAAGGGCGTGCACATGTGGAGGAAGGGCGTGCGCATGTGGGGAAGGGCGTGCGCATTTGCGGAAGGGCGTGCGCAGGTTGGGAGGGGCGTGCGCAGTTGGGGAAGGGCGTGCGCAGTTGGGGAAGGGCGTGCACACGTGGGGGAGGGTGTGCGCACGTGGGGGAAGGGTCTGCGCATGCAAGGGAAGGGCGTGCGCTTGTGGGGAAGGGCGTGCGCCTGTGGGGAAGGGCGTGCGCATGTGGGGAAGGGTGTGCGCCTGTGGGGAAGGGCGTGTGCATCTAGGGAAGGGTGTGCGCATGTGGGGAAGGGTGTGGGGAAGGGCGTGTGCATGTTGGGAAGGGTGGCGTGCGCATGTGGGGGGGACCGTGCGCATGTAGGGGAAGGGCGTGCGCGTGTGGGGGAAGGGGGTGCGCGTGTGGGGGAAGGGCGTGCGCGCAGGGGGGAGGGCGTGCGCACGGGGGAGAGGGCGTGCGCGCGTGGGGGAGGGCGTGCGGGCGGGGGGGAGGGCGTGCGCGCGTGGGGGAGGGTGTGCGCACGTGGGGGGAGGGCGGGCGTGCGTGGGCCGAGGGCGGGCGCGCGTGGGGGGAGGGCGGGCACGCGTGAGGGGAGGGCGTGCGCTGTTATAATCACAATAGGCTTAGATGTGCCTATAATGAGAGCTAGAGAGCACAACCGGATTTCCGTCAGACGGCTTCAAATATTGATAACGATCTGGTCGCTGAATGAAACGGTGATTTGTAAGTTGGATCTGGAGCGCGTTGTTGTCGCCTATCAGCAGCAAGTTGAATCATAAAATTTCATGAAGATTTGACGACGCTATGGCGGTTTGACTGGCAGGAGGTACAGTAGCCACTATAGTCTTAGGAGTACAAACTTAGCAAGAAGAGTTCGAGAGGGAGATGGCTCCCAGCCTCTACATACCCCAAGAGCCGAGGTCCAGGTTGGTGGTACACCACCACAGAGTCCCCAACCATGAAGAGTCTCGAAACCAACCCTCCAAGGGGCTACACCAAGTGAAATGTAACACTACACGAAGTAACGTTACTATTTTCACTATTTAATATTTATCCGCGTCCCTTGGGCTTGAAATCTTGAGCTCTTGTTCTTGGATCTGCAAGATAAATTCTTCTTGAGTTGATGGGGCTTGCTGCACACACCTGCGACACGATGGACACTTCACACTCGACAAAATAGAAAAAGCACATGCGACACACAAACGACGACTTGACATGCGAGTTGTCAAAACTCGCTAATGTCTTGACCGACACAAACCACATTGTGATACACCATTCAAACACACACACAAGCACTGGATAGCAATGACATAGGCTCACAATTCATTCCATGCCATGCATGCACACACACAAGCAAGAACGACAAGCCGAGTGCAAGCCATAGGGTTGCACCAACAAACTTCCCCTCGGATTGTTGGCCTTAGAATCTGCTCCCCTTAGTTCAGAGCCATCCCTGCAAGCTTGCAACACTTCCAATGCTGCTGCTCAACCAGCCTCTTGGTCATCATTTGTTGTGTGATGTCATCATATGCTATCACATTCTGTCTGCCTCCCATCCCATATTTTTTCAACTTGCATGTGTGGTTTGAACGTGTGCAAGAATTTGTGTGTGGTGTGTTCTGGAGTTTGGGAATGTGTTCTGTGTTATTTTTGTTTGAGCAGGTATTTTGATGATAGATCTTGAGAAGATCTTTCCGACGCAACAAGAATCCCTTCAATCGGAGCAAGAACGCGAAAGCTATGAAGATTCAAAGTTCATGAGCTTGCGTTACAATTGCGGCGGTTACAAAGTGAAGTTGTGGGGTGACTCTATATGGAGTTGGGACCTTTGGGGTTGGGGAAACTTGTCACTCTACTGTAACAGCTGCAAATTGGTTGGGAACAACCAAGCTAGGTTGGCAAGGGTGGCCAACTTGGATGGATTGGTTGGGAAGGGACAAAGGTCAAAGTTGAGGTTCCTATAGGGAGGGAATCTTTGTGCTTATGGGGTTTCCTTGGTTGGGGACTCTCTTGGGACCTTCCCTCTCATCCCTCTCTTCCTATCCCAACCTTTCTCTTGCTCCTTCTAATTCCTTGTGAGATTCTTGAACTTTAATTGAACCTTTGAGATTGAGTTAAGTTCTCCTCCTACAGCTTACCCCCTAGTGCGTCGAAAGCCATAGCGTCGCGAATACTTTATCAATCAACATGATTCAAATTGGGAACGGTAGCTGAGATTAAGAGCTACAACATATCCAAGTTTCGCGACATTCCAACGGCTAGTTGTTTGTCGACGTCGTTTCTTGTGAAGACGACTTTTCTGTCCAGAATTTCGGATTTATATTTTGAGTAATTCTAGCTCCTAAGTTCACCTAGACTCCGTCCTTAATCCTAACAAGTGGTATCAGAGCCATATTAAGGACATTGAGAGGAGTCTACAGAAGTGTGAAGACCCTTCTAGACCCACCATGGCCTGTGGGTGTGCCTAAGTGGTGTTCTAAAGGTTGGATGTGTCTTCCGCTAAGGGGAAACTCTGCCGAAATTTCGTGGACGCCGATACTTGTGAAAATATCGAGGGAGCTGAGTGTGGACAGCAAAGGGGAGCTGAAATTCGTCATTTCTCAAGGAGAAGATGAATGAGAGAGGAGGAGATGCTAATGGAAGAGGAGCTGTAGCTGAGAAGACAAGTGAGCCGCCGCCATCAAAAGTTGAAGCTTTGGATGGCTCCAACTATAAGGAATGGAGCGGACGGATGAGGAGTGCCTTCAAACGCTACAAGCTACTGAAGATTGCTGTTGGGGAAGAGAAGATGCCGGAAGAAGGCGAAGCACGTGAACGGTGGATTGAGAAAAGCGCGGTGCTTTTCGACCTCATCCTTCAATCGGTCAACAAGGAGATGTTCGAGCACATCAAGGATCTTGTGGAAGCGGATGATTCGGGTCCAAGGGCGTGGAAACTACTACGTGATGTGATTCAGCCCAACACTCTCCCAATGGTGATCGTGCTCGAGAAGGAACTTGCTGCCATCTCCATGCGACCAGGGGACGATGTGAAGCCGGTCCTTGACAAGATCAAGGACACCTATGCAAGGATGGCAGCAGCGGGCAGTAGTGTATCTCAGCTGCAGCAGTGCACCAAGATCATCTCGGTGTTGGACAACTCTTGGGACAACCTCATCCCCACCCTCAACTCTCAGCAAGATCAATGGACACCTGAGTGGCTAAGGCAGCAGATTCTGCAGGAGGACTTCCGCAGACGCCATGTGGGAGGCGGTGCTGCCACTAAGACTGCTGAGGGGTATGGAGCTGCAGGGCGCGGCAGAGGAAGAGGGGGTTGGAGAGGCCGAGGCCGTGGGAGAAGCTTTGGCAGAGGTAGAGGCCGAGGTGACTATAATGAGGGGCATGGGAGCTCCAGTGGCAGGGGGAGTACCAGAATGGAGGGCACCTGCTGGTACTGCAAGAAGGTCGGGCATCCTTGGTTCAAGTGCTTCAGCAGGCTGGAGGGATGGTCACCTCCAGGCATGAAGCCGCCAAGTGGTGAACGCGCACAAGGTGGCGCTGTGCAAGGCTCAGGTGCACAAGGTGAAGGTGCACAAGGTAACGCCTATCCTGGGATGTATCTCATGGTTGAGGATGTGCATGGGCATGAGGGTGATGTGGGATCTGTCGGAAAGGTTGTGATGCACCCTCTCACGCACTGGGTGATTGATTCGGGTTGCACCAGTCACATGACTCCACGGGCAGATTTGCTTGATGAGGTAAAACCCCCTGGGAAGATCAAGTATGTGGCAGCAGCGTCAGGTGCTTTGCTCCCTGTCATTGGTGTTGGGAATGCCAAGGTTAAGGGAGCAAATGGGGAGCTTGTGGGGCTTGGGAATGTTCTGCTGGTTGAAGGCTTGTCTGCTAACCTTCTCTCTGTGCGACGACTGCAGAAGAGCAAGGCCGAAGTGACATTTGGACCAACCAGCTGCCGTGCTAAGCTTGGGAAGAAGGTGCTGTGGAGTTTGGAAGAGGAGACCAGCTGCATCAAGGACCTGTGGCAGCTGCCCATCATCCCATGGAATGGGAAGACTCCAACAGCAGCAACGGCAGCAGCGGCAAAGGCAACAGCAGGAGGAGATGCAACTGCACCAACTGATGGGGTCCTGGAAGCAGTCAAGAAAGTGCAGCAGCAGCAGACACATGGTGAGGTGCTTGCTGGTGTGGATGCGAGTGCGGCATGGGCTAAGGCTTCATCAAGGAGTGGAGAGGCCGATTGGGAGACATGGCATGAGAGGCTGTGTCATGTGAACTTCCCTATGCTGCAGAAGTTGGTGAAGGATGGGAGCCTGAAGGGCTTGGAGGTGAAAGGGGAGTGAAGGAGATTGGGAGCTGCCCTACATGCTTGGAGACCAAGTTCTCCAAGTTCCCCTTCAACAGCACTACAGGACCAGCCAAGACCCCACTTGCACTTGTGCACATGGATGTGGTGGGGCCCACAAGAGCCCCTTCCCTCTCAGGCAGCCGCTATTTCTTGACAATTGTGGATGACCACACTCGGGCAGTGTGGGTTTACCCTTTGAAGAGCAAGGGGGAGGTGGCAGCGGCTGTCCTTAAGGAGTGGATGCCTAGAGCTCAGAGGGAATGCGGATACAAGGTGAAGGTGATCCGCAGTGACAATGGTGGGGAGTTCATTGGAGCTGATTTTGAGGGGGAGTTGAAGAGGAAGGGGATCCAACATCAACTGACAGTGCCCTACAACCCGCAGCAGAATGGCGTGGCTGAGAGGTTCAACAGGACCCTGCAGGAGGGGGCACGCACTCTCCTTGGGCGTGCAGGGCTGCCTGATCCGTTTTGGGTGTCTGCACTGAGGCAGGTCGCCCTTGTGAAGAACAGGGTGCTGGCTACAGTTGGAGATAAGGAGTGGATCCCATATGCAAGTGGTATGGGAGTGCTCCAGCTGTGAACATGCTGAGGGCATTTGGGTGCATGGTGGTGTTTCATGTGCCTAAGGAGAAAAGGGGGAAGTTGGAGGCTTCTGGAAGATGGGGTGTGCACTTGGGGATTGCAAAGGATCACAAGGGGTGGCTGCTATGGGACCTGACCACCCAGAAGTGACAGTGTCAAGGGATGTGAAGTTTCTTGAGTCCCTGTACTACAAGGAATGGAAGCAGCAGCAACAGAAGCTTCCATCTACACCACTCATTGTGGAGGCAGATGAGTGCAGCACCCTTCAAGACAGGTGGAGGTTGCAGTGTCAGAGGAGGAGATGTCTGGGGTGACTGAGGAAGGGGGAGCAGCTGAAGTAGAGCAGCAGCAGCAGCAGCATGAGTCTCCACCTCGAGTTCCACACCCGCCTGAGCGTCCTAGGAGGGATGTGCGCCCTCCAGTGAGGCTGACCTATGGGGGAAGAGGCAAGCCAAATGTGGTGCAGGCTGGGAGTGTGGTTGAGCAGATTGAGGAAGATGAGATCGCTCACTGCTACTGGGCACCAATCCCTGAGCCCAAGACTCGAGAGGAGGCCTTGAATGGACCAAATGGGGAGAAGTGGAAGGCGAGTGAGGATGAGGAGTTCGGGTCCCTAATTGAGAACGAGACATGGGACCTGTGTGACTTGCCTCCTGGAAAGAAGGCAATCACTTCCAAGATGATCTACAGGCACAAGTATGGACCTGAAGGGGAGCTGACCCGCTACAAGTCCAGGCTTGTGGCAAGGGGGTTTCAGCAGACAAAAGGGAAGGACTATGATGAGGTGTTTGCTCCTGTGGGGAAAGGAACAACACTGAGGGTGCTGTTAGCGATAGCTGCACTCCTGGGATGGAAGATACGGCAGATGGACATTGTGACTGCTTTTCTGAATGGGATCATTATGGAGGAGGTGTACATGAAGCAGCCAGAGGGGCTGGATGACGGGAGCGGCAGGGTCTGCAGGCTGAAGAAGGCCATCTATGGCCTTAAGCAGGCGCCTCGTGCATGGTATCACAAGTTGGAGGAGGCGCTGTTGGCTGGGGGTTTCAAGAAGAGTGAGTGTGACCCCAGCCTGTTCCTGCTGCAGGAGAAGGATGAAATCCTCATGCTCTTGGTGTATGTGGATGATATCCTTCTCTTTTCTGCATCAACTGCTTTGCTGGACAGCGCAGAGCAGATGCTGGAGATGCAGTTCAAGTGCTCCAAGATGGGTGAGGTGAAGTACTACTTGGGGATGCACGTGGAGAGAGATGTGGAAAAGGGTGTGCTGAGGTTGCACCAGAGGAAGTACTGTGAGGGGCTGGCTGAGAAGTATGGGCTGCAAGATGGGGGAAAGCCAGCAACACCACTACCTTCAGGGTTTACTGTGGAGCCATGTGCTGATGAGGAGGTAGTGGGTGATAGTGACAGGAAGCTGTTTCATTCGATGGTTGGGTCGCTGAATTATGCTGCAAATCATACACGGCCTGACATTGCATTTGCTACATCACGATTGGCTAGTGTGGTCTCACGCCCTAGTCATGAGCAGCTGGAAGCGGCCAAGAGGTTGGTCCGCTATGTGAGCGCTACGGCATCAGTGGGATTGGAGTACAGTGGAGTGAGGCAGCGGTTGCAGAGAGGTGCTGCAGATGTGAAGAGTGGAGAGATGCTCTTGAGTTGCTATACTGACGCTAGCTTCAACTCAGTGAAAGCGGATGGCACCAGCATTGGGGGTTATGTGTGCTTGCTAGGAGGTGGTGCTGTGAGCTGGCGCAGCAAGAAGCAGAATGAGGTGGGATTGTCCTCATGTGAGACTGAGTACATGGCCTTACACCATGGGGCCAAGGAAGTAGTGTGGCTAAGGCGTTTGTTGGAGGAGTTGGGAGTTGGTCAGGAGAAGCCGACAGTTGTGTTTTGTGACAATGAGTCCGCTGTGAAGCTCGCCAAGAATGCTTGTCTGCATGGGCTGACAAAACACATAAGGCCTAAGTGGCATTGGGTGAGGAGACTCCTTGATAAGGAGGTGCGGCTGGAGATAGTGAAGACCCATCAGCAGGCAGCAGATATTTTCACCAAGCGTCTGGCGGAGGCGGATCATTGGAAGGGCATGAAGCTTGCTGGGATGAGTGTGCATTGAGTATGCATGCTTGAGATGTTGGTATGGTGGATGATGGTTGGCAGCCAGAGGGGGAGATTGTTGTGTGATGTCATCATATGCTATCACATTCTGTCTGCCTCCCATCCCATATTTTTTCAACTTGCATGTGTGGTTTGAACGTGTGCAAGAATTTGTGTGTGGTGTGTTCTGGAGTTTGGGAATGTGTTTTGTGTTATTTTTGTTTGAGCAGGTATTTTGATGATAGATCTTGAGAAGATCTTTCCGACGCAACAAGAATCCCTTCAATCGGAGCAAGAACGCGAAAGCTATGAAGATTCAAAGTTCATGAGCTTGCGTTACAATTGCGGCGGTTACAAAGTGAAGTTGTGGGGTGACTCTATATGGAGTTGGGACCTTTGGGGGTTGGGGAAATTTGTCACTCTACTGTAACAGCTGCAAATTGGTTGGGAACAACCAAGCTAGGTTGGCAAGGGTGGCCAACTTGGATGGATTGGTTGGGAAGGGACAAAGGTCAAAGTTGGGTTCCTATAGGGAGGGAATCTTTGTGCTTATGGGGTTTCCTTGGTTGGGGACTCTCTTGGGACCTTCCCTCTCATCCCTCTCTTCCTATCCCAACCTTTCTCTTGCTCCTTCTAATTCCTTGTGAGATTCTTGAACTTTGATTGAACCTTTGAGATTGAGTTAAGTTCTCCTCCTACAGCTTACCCCCTAGTGCGTCGAAAGCCATAGCGTCGCGAATACTTTATCAATCAACATGATTCAAATTGGGAACGGTAGCTGAGATTAAGAGCTACAACATATCCAAGTTTCGCGACATTCCAACGGCTAGTTGTTTGTCGACGTCGTTTCTTGTGAAGACGACTTTTCTGTCCAGAATTTCGGATTTATATTTTGAGTAATTCTAGCTCCTAAGTTCACCTAGACTCCGTCCTTAATCCTAACACATATCAGCAGGCTGCGCCGTCGTCTTCACGTAGTGCAACTCCACTTCACCCGCGGTTACCATGCTCCTCACCCAATGCCACTTCACCTTCATGTGCTTGGTAAGACCATGAAGAACGGGGCTCTTTGCCAATGCAATAGCACCTTGGCTATCACATTAGAGTGGGGTAGGTCCTTGCTGCTCCTCCCCCAATTCAGCTAGCAAACGCCGCTGCCACACAACCTCCCTTATGGCACGGAAGAGTGCCATGTACTCGGACTCCACCGAGCTCAATGCTTGGTCCACTTGTTCTTGCTCTCCCAAGCTGTTGGCCTCCACCAACACAGCAGATGAAGCCTCCACACTTGTCATGTCCTCTGGTTCTGATGCCCAAGATGCATCAGAGAAGGCGGTGAGAAAGAGCCTCCCGGGTTCGACTCCATCCGCACCCTTTGACGCCTTTGTGCCGCCGCGGAGTATTGCAGTCCAACAGTTGCTGTTTGGCCAAGGTACTTGGCCACCCTCTCTCCAGCTGCTACCTGCTCTCATTAGGGCATTGGACAACCCTAGCCAGCTGCCCGGTAGCAAAGGCTGCATCCGGCCTTGTGTGAACGGCCGCATACATGAGGCTGCCCACCAAGGAGTGAAAACGGCGCCTCTCCTCTTCACCAACACTTTCCTCCGCTGGTCCTTTCACACACTTGAACCCTGAGGGAAGAGGAGTAGCCACATGACCTTCACTCTTCCCAAAGTTTGAAGCCAAGGCCTCCAAGTACTTCTTTTGATGCACTCGCATCCACCGCTTCTCCACATCTCGCTCAATGTGAAGCCCAAGGTAGTAGTTGACGTCACCAAGGGTCTTGCACTTGAACTTGTCTTGAAGCTTCAGCATCACCTCCTTCACAAGGTCAGAGGAGGGTGAGAATATGAGGATGTCATCCACATAAACCACCATGAAGCTCCTCTGCTCCCCCTCGCCAAGCATGAACAAGGATTGATCGGCCGTTGAGGGAGTGAAGCCGATCGCCTCCAAGACTTCCCGCAGCTTGATGTACCATTGCCTAGGGGCTTGCTTGAGGCCATAGAGTGCTTTCTTCAGCTTCCACACTCTGCCACTCCCATCATTGTACCCCTCTGGCTGCTCCATGTAGGTCTCTTCCTCCAAAACGCCGTTGAGGAAGGCCGTTACAATGTCCATTTGCTTCACCACCCATCCTTTGATGGCCGCCGAGGCGAAGAGGGTTCGAAGGGTTGTACCCTTCACCACAGGGGCATACACTTCATTGTAGTCCTTCTTCTCTTTCTGCTGATACCCCTTGGCTACAAGTCTGCTCTTGTAGCGCTCAATGTTGCTGTCGGCGTCGGTCTTGCGCTTGAAGAGCCACTTGGAAGAAATCGCCTTACGCCCCGGAGGTAGGTTCACCAAGTCAAACGTGTCGTTCTCGATGATGCTCCCCATTTCTTCATCTGAGGCCTTCTTCCACTCCTTCCCATTGGGGCCCTCCCAAGCCTCCCTGGGATTTGTAGGCTCCCCCGGTATCTCCACCGGAGAGAAGAAGGCAAAAGCGCACTCCTCGCTTTCATCTTCCGCATCATCGCCTAGCATGAGGGCCGAACCGGTCAAGGTTGAGTTGGCTGGTCCTCCAAGCCGTTCATAGCTCAACCTATTGGGGGGCTGAGTCTTCCTTCTCCCCCTTCCCTCTTCCTCTGCTGCAGGGACTTGGATGCTCTCATGGCGTTGCTGCAAATCTGGTCCGTTCGCGCGAGCACTTGTAGCACGAGGCGGAAGTGACGGTGCACGCTCATCACCTTGCTGCACCTCCTCCTCCTCTTCTTCCCCATTCATTTGAGGAGATTGCCTTGTGATAGTGCTGCTGCTACTCAGCTCCAAGGGCAGCTCCACATGCTCCAAGCCGGTACTCTTCACCTCTCCAAGCCGCACACCAATCTTCGCTTGGTTCTCCGCCTTCCACTCCTTGTACGGTAAGTTCTCCATGAACTTGCAATCTCTGCTCACCAGGAACTTCTTGGTAAATGGGTCCCATAGAAGCCATCCCTTGCTGTTTTGGGCCATGCCCAGGTGCACGGCCCATGTTGCCTTGGCATCAAGCTTGTTGTGCCGAAGTTTCTTAGGCACAAGTGCCATGCACATGCACCCGAACACCCGAAGCATATCCACCTTCGGCTTCCTTCCAATCCACTCCACATAGGGCACCCATTTGTCTTCTCCCACATGAGTCAAGGCTCTGTTCTTGGCCACACAAGCATGCCGCACCGCATCCGGCCAAAAGTAATTGGGTAGACCGGCTTCAATGAGAAGTCCCCGTGCCGTCTCCGTGAGTGTCCGATTCGCACGCTCGGCGATGCCGTTCATTGCAGGAGAGTAGGGCATGGTAAGAGAGTGCCTTATGCCCTGATTCTTTAGCCAAGTTGAGAAATCCTTGCTCAGGAACTCTCCCCCACGGTCAGTGCGAATCGCCTTCACAAGTCGGTCTTGTTGCCGCTCCACCATCGGCAACCAATCGGTCTTCACCGTTTCAGCTACGTCACTCTTCTTGGGCAGCACATACACCCAAGTCATGCGAGTGTAGACGTCCACAATGGTGAGGAAGTACTCTGCTCCAGCAGCTCCAAGCTTCAAGGGGCCCACCACATCCATCACCACCTCATCAAGTGGTGCCTTCGCCGTTGTCTCCGAGCTATGGAACGGGTAGCGGGTGAACTTGGCTTGCATGCATGTTGGACAGCCAAGCACCTTATTGGGCTCCCCCTTGACACGGATTCCACTGAACATCTCTTGCTTAACAATCTGCTGCAAAATGGGCAATGCCACGTGCCCCATTCGCCGATGCAAGGTCAGCCAATCACACTCTCCCGTAGCGGAAGTCGGGTTGGAGAAAGCAGCACTCGCAATTGTGCCCCACAAGCTCTCTCCTTTCTCCTTCGCCGCTGCTGCTTTGTTGATCTTAGCCTTCTCCTCCTCATTTCCACCACCTTTGGCTGCTGCACCATTCTCCTTGGGTTCACACGCCTTGCTGGTCTCTCCAAGGTTGCACTCCTTCGAGTCACTCTTGGTGTCACTTTGCTTTCCGTGATCACCGCCACCAACTGCTTCACGCTTGGTGCTGACGCTTGCTGCCACTTGCCTCTCTTTAGGCATGGGGACCACTGGGATTTGCCACATCTCATTGTAGATGTCCCTGTCCTCATGAAGGTCCCAAAGCTTCCGCTCACCAAGCCTTGCGGTATAGGTTTTGGATCCCTTGGAAGATGTGTCCATGCCGGCATTTTGCAAACGCCGAACGGAAATCAGGTTGGCTGCTAAGTTGGGCACCAAAAGCACGTTCTTGAGGCCCACCATCTTCCCATCAGCACCCTTGAACATGGCCTTGCCCATGCCCTTCACCTCTGCTCGCTGCCCCAAAGCCGATGTAACATGCTTGACCGGCGACGGTTCGAGTTCGGTGAGCAAGTCCGCACGAGGTGTCATGCTGTAGGTGGCGCCGCTAACGATGACCCAAAAGTCCAGAGAGTGAAGGGTGACCTTTCCCACAGTAGCTGGCTCCTCAAAGCCTTCCACACCTCCTGCTGCAGCTGCCGCTTGCGTGGAGACCAAGAAGAATTGGCCCGGGTATCGATCTTCACTCGAGTCCTTGTCGTAGTCTCCACCTTTCATGCTTGCCGCTTCGCTTCCATGACCACCACGGCCTCCACGACCTCTGCCTCTTCCTCCCCTTGCTCCTCTGCCCTCTTGGCCTTGAGAAGGGGTCCAGCCATCAGGTAGTTTGAAGCAATCTCTCCACATGTGGCCGGTCTTGTGGCAAAAGTGGCATTCGCCATCAAATCGACCGCGCCCACGCCCGTAGCCATTGTTGTTGTTGTTGGTGCCATATCCTCCATTACCACGGCCTCCATTGAAGTAGCTGCTGCCAAATCTTCCTCCTCGCCCTCTGCCCCTTCCACGGCCGTGCCCACGGCCCATGCTTGCAACTCCGGCACCATCGGGACCCGCCAATTCGCGACGGCGGAAATCTTCTTGTAAGATTTCCCACTTCACATCTTCGAGTGAGAGACGGGGCAGATCTCGATTAAGGTTGATGATGAGCGAGGACCATGAGTCCGGAAGTAAGGCCAGCAGCTTGGTCTTCTTTTGAAGGTCACTGTAGTTCAGGTCAGCTCCTTCGAGCCGTGTCAACAAGTCGAAGAATTTCTGCACTCCTTCCTCCACCGGTTCGCCTTCGTCAATTCGAAGTGCCGCCATTTGCCGCTCCAAAACCACAGCCACCGCCGCTGTTGCAGGAGCGTGTACACCCTTGAGAGCAGCCCATGCCTTTGGTCCCTTTGCTGGTTCACGCTGAAAAGGCTTGATGTGACGGATTTGGCTGCTCCCCAACGCTTGCCCAAGTAGAAGGTAGCCTTGTGCGCTCTTCCGCACCCACGGGCTCTTCTCCGGGTCGTTCTCGGGGCGCTTCTCCGTTCCTTCCATCACCTCCAGCAGATCATAGTGATCAAAGATGTTCTCCATCTTGAAGGACCACTCAGCAAAGTTGTCACCGTTGAACTTGTCAAGGCCAAACACTCTAGGCTCATCCCTAGAGGGTCCAAGGCTAGGTTGCACCGGAGCAACGGGTGGATCTTGGTGTTGACCTTGTGCTTGGGCGTCTTCTCTGCCTCCAGCACCTCTGCCACCCCCTTCCTCAGGTCTAGGCATGGTCGAGACGGCTCCAAGGGGCTCTGATACCACTTGTTATAATCACAATAGGCTTAGATGTGCCTATAATGAGAGATAGAGAGCACAACCGGATTTCCGTCAGACGGCTTCAAATATTGATAACGATCTGGTGGCTGAAGGAAACGGTCATCTGTAAGTTGGATCTGGAGCGCGTTGTTGTCGCCTATCAGCAGGAAGTTGAATCATAAAATTCCATGAAGATTTGACGACGCTATGGCGGTTTGACTGGCAGGAGGTACAGTAGCCACTATAGTCTTAGGAGTACAAACTTAGCAAGAAGAGTTCGAGAGGGAGATGGCTCCCAGCCTCTACATACCCCAAGAGCCGAGGTCCAGGTTGGTGGTACACCACCACAGAGTCCCCAACCATGAAGAGTCTCGAAACCAACCCTCCAAGGGGCTACACCAAGTGAAATGTAACACTACACGAAGTAACGTTACTATTTTCACTATTTAATATTTATCCGCGTTCCTTGGGCTTGAAATCTTGAGCTCTTGTTCTTGGATCTGCAAGATAAATTCTTCTTGAGTTGACGGGGGCTTGCTGCACACACCTGCGACACGATGGACACTTCACACTCGACAAAATAGAAAAAAACACATGCGACACACAAACGACGACTTGACATGCGAGTTGTCAAAACTCGCTAATGTCTTGACCGACACAAACCACATTGTGATACACCATTCAAACACACACACAAGCACTGGATGGCAATGACATAGGCTCACAATTCATTCCATGCCATGCATGCACACACACAAGCAAGGACGACAAGCCGAGTGCAAGCCATAGGGTTGCACCAACATGCGCGTGTGGGGGAGGGCGTGCGCGCGTGGGGGAGGGCGTGCGCACGTGGGGGAGGGCGTGCGCGCGTGGGGGAGCGCGTGCACTCGTGGGGGAGGGCGTGCGCGCATGAGGGAGGGCGTGCACATGTGGGGGAAGGGAACCGAGCTCCCCCTAGGAGGAAAGGTTCCTCCAGTCAATGGAGGGATTGGTTTTGAATTCTCGCAATGGATCCCTTGCTGCAAGAATTGAAAACCAATCCGATTGGGGCACGAGAAGGCTATATGAATACACTCAGACGCATGGAATATGTTGTCATGGAAACCCCACTCGTTGTTTGTCCTAAAGCGCATACATTTATTCCCGTGCAGTATGTGGTTGGGTTTGGGCTGCCAAGATAGCATGATGTTTCAATTTTCGGCCTCCAGCATCTTTTGCGTTTCCCTTTGCTGCCCTGCCACATTGTCCTACATGCTTGGAACTGCAGGACATTTGGGACAAAGCCTCTGGTTCATTGCCTTGCGCTTTCGATTTGCCCCCCCTCGGTTTTCCCCCAGTTTCCCCCTTTTCCCCCCACGCGCAAATCTGTCAATAACGTCCAGCGTAGGGGGGAAAGCTTTTTAACCCCAGTTCGGGCGCGTTCTGCGCTGGGGCCAAGTCTTGTGGCATTACTTCGGGCGTGAGTTGCACGGTAACCATGGTTTGGATTATCCTAAAGTTCTATCTGTTGTGATATAATTGGTACTTAGCATATCTGTAAGTCGATTAAGTGTAGTTAGTGTCGAATCTTACTGTAGAAGATAAGTCCGTAGGATGATGTCCGTCATAGGACAGTCGTTTCAGTCACGCGAACAGTCGCATCTCTTCATTAACATCTAGGGCGCATAGCGCGATAGTGACGAACAGGTACATTAGCGAATAGGTACTTTTCCTAGAACTATAAATCCTTGTTAGGTCTTTTCATTACTAACTTTGATTATTCACAAGTTCACGTACTCAGGTTATTCAACCTCTGACTGTTACCTTTTACAAGACTTCCGCTGTCTTACTAGTCTACCATGCCAGTAAAGATCCTGGGCTAACACTTGAGGATTTCCAAGTGTTCGTGTTTGCAGTTTTATACTTAGTCTTTTACAACATTGGACAAGTTGTTTCATGGTATGAGAGCTATCTGGAATTACGACTACTGTCAACAATAACTGGTTCATCACCAGCACCGTCTGCCGGATCAACTTCTGGAACTACTGGTGTACATGTCTCCACGACCGCCACTGGTCTCTCAGCCTCTGGACCATTTCCACCGGCTTATGCGCATATTGGTATGTAGCAGCAACAGCAAAATCCGTCTTCTGCCAATATTCCAAGGATGTCATTAACTGCCCCTGCAGCACAACACCAAACACAGACAACAGCACAGCAACAAGCGTCATTAGAGCCGCCAGTTTCAACGCAATCAATTTCTTCAGCGTTCAGTGGAATGAGCCTTGACGGCTCGAGTTACATGCGTGGAGCCACAACTCCAAGTACTGGTTCGTTCACTTTCTCACCTTTTGTATAGCAGCCGCAGTCGCAGTAGTTTCAGCATCCTTTCTACATCTTCGGTCGTTCCCCTGCTCAGCAACAACAGCAACAACAACAGCATCATCAGCAGCCACCGCAATTCCAACAGCAACAGCAACAACAGCAATAGCCGGGTATTGTTTTTCAGCCTCCAAATTTACTTAACAGCACACAGATTAAAACCACTATACTTTTTAACGGAGTCGACTTCTACTCCTGGAGCTTTGAGTTTAAGCTTCTGGCGCAGTCCGCTGGGCTATGGCCGTTCTTCATTGGCGAGTTCACGTATCCTGTCGTGGGAACACAACTAGAGCAGCAGAGTTTCTTGCACGCCTCTCTTGGGGCGTATATAGTTCTTGTTCGAAACCTGTCACCGAAGGAGCAGCTCGGCGTCCGATCATTTCACTCAAGCTTTACACCAGCCGAAACTGCTTGGAACCATTTGAAGGGGGTGTACATGGCAAAGGATACAATAACAGTGAGTAAAATACTTTCGCAGCTGACAAGTGTGCACATGATGACAAACGGAAACGTCATGGACTACGTTAATCGCGTCCGTACACTACGAGATCAACTGGAGAAAAGTGGAGGATACTTCCCTCGTGAGATGTATCTCACGGTCCTTCTTGCCGGTCTTGGACCCGAATGGTGACAGACGCGCGCCTTCCTGCGAATGAACCCGAATCTTTCCGAAGCCGAAATCTCTTCATATCTTCAAGCAGAGCAGCAAGATCTTGACCTGTAGTCACAACGCAATCAGAAGAAAGGAGTTCATTTAAGTTTTTACTCCAATTCAGAACCACAGCAACGACATCCTCCAATATATCCATTCTGCTATTTTTGTAAGAAACCAGGACATACTTACCAAAACTGTCGCAGCCGTCATCAAAATTGCCGCAGCACTTCTCAGCCATATCACCGATCGCAGCAGTTACCGAAGACACAACAGCCACCGCAACAGTTAACGTCTCAGCAGCAGCAGATGCCAAAACCGCCGCAGAATCCATCGACGTCGCCGCATCGCCCGCCGGTCTTCGCATCTGCCACATCAGGAAAAGGGGTTTTTGGATGTGTTACAACAGTCGATGTTTCAGAAAAATATTTCGAGGCACATCTTGAAGAAACTACAAGTGTTGAAGGCATTCCCTTACCGCAAGTTTACGCTAACCTTGCTCGAGTTATTTCAGGTCCCAATACTTGGTATCTTGACAGCTGTTGTGGTTGGCACAGGTGTTCCTCCGAAACAAGCTTCATCACCAACCAGCGACCGCTTCGTCGTCCAATACCTGTCACAGTTGCAAACGGACAAACGATTATGGCACGTTCTGTTGGGAGCGTAATGCTCGAATCAATCGACACGGGTTACTCACTTCATGTTACCAATGTTCTAATTGTCGCCGGTCTTGGCTTCAATCTTCTTTCCACGGCTCAACTCCTGGCACACAAAATCCGCACACAGGACAATTGTGAAACGATGGATCAGGAGCTATGGCACAGCCCAACAAATACTTACCTTGGCTGTGCCGCTACTCAACATGGTGTTTCCGTTCTTCAGTTTATGCCACAAGGAACTTCTGGTGACTCTGAACGCGTTCTTGCACTTGGTCCCTGGGATCATCCAGAAGAAACAGATTATCAGCAAGTGGATATTGATTTTCGAGCAACTACTGTGCCAACATCTTCTCGAACTACAGCCGCCGTACTTACCGCACTGGATACTTGGGAGTTCAATATAGCCGAGGAAGGCGCCAACGCTTGGCGAACCTTTTATACTACTTGCGAGGCCCTTCAAGGAACTCCAGCTCCACTTTGGGGGGAAATTAGTGGACTAGCAGCTGATGAACCTCACGTCGTTGAAGCAGCCAAACAGGAAGAAGTAGCTGAGCAGCTGAGTCCACCAGTCGTTGTCGCAGAACCTCCTACCACCACATCAACAGAAGCAGCATCAGAAGTTTTCGTTACAACGGCAGCAACACCATTAAATGTCACGTTACCGCTTACCCGT